AACCAGATCTGGAACATTCCCTGCCTCTCTGGCTATGACCTAAGCCAAGCCCTGGGTGCTCCTAAGGGTTTCCCATCTCCCAGTATCAGCTCAAATGTGTCTTTCTCAGGGAGACTCTGAGGATTCTCTCAGCCCTCAAAGTCGTTTGGAAGTGGACCTGGGAGAGGGGATAGGCTTCAACTCTTTGCTCTGTGGGCACCCCTAGCCACTGCCTTAAGCTTCAGGAAAGTGAGGCCAAATAGAAGACCTCCCCTGCCCTTTTGGTGTTCACAAACTCACTCTCCCAGGAAAGGTACTGGGCAGGTGAGAAGTGAGGGATTAGGTAGACAGGCAGAGACCAAGACTTCTGGGTCAGCTTTTTGGGGGTTGAATCTTAGCACCATCACCGTGTGACCTTGGCATTCAATTGGATTGAATTCAATTCCATTCACCTATGAAATGGGGATAATAGCAGTTCTAAACCTCATAGAGTGTTGGTAAAGATTGAGATAAAGCATGAAAGGTAGTGAGGCCAGTGCCTAAAATAAATAAGCTCTAAATAGATGTGAGTTACTGATACTTCTTAGAGGGGCAGAACTGAAAAACACCTTAGATGTTACCTAGTCCTGCCCCCTAAGAGGGACAAGGTTTTTCTTTGTCACTGAGGCTGGGAGTGGGTAGGTGGGAGCCCAGGGTTCTAATGAAACCAAGAGTTATAGCAAGAGGAAGTACTGTGAGATCAGACCCAGTTCAGATCCTTAGCCTGTCTTTTCCAGCTGTGTGCCCTTGGACAAGCTCCTTCACTTCTGAATCAAGCGTTAAAATGAGTTTTCTTTAACTCTCTGATAGTATTAGTGATATCTACATCAGAAGGCTATTTATGGCTCGGCTCCTATAGCTCAACCGGCTAAGGCGCCAGCCATGTACACCTAAGGTGGCGGGTTCGAATCCCCAGCCCAGACCTGCCAAACAACAATGACGGCTGCAACCAAAAAATAGCCGGGCGTTGTGGCAGGCGCCTGTGGTCCCAGCTACTTAGGAGGCTGAGGCAGGAGACTCGCTGGAGCCCAGAAGTTGGAGGTTGCTGTGAGCTGTAATGCCACGGCACTCTACCCAGGGGGACAGCTTGAGGCTCTGTCTCAAAAAAAAAAAAAAGAAGGCTGTTTATGTATTTATTAGAACTTACATGCTGGTCATTCATTAAGAGCCAGGCATAGGCTAGGAGGGTGCTGGAAATCACAGTGGCTAGTAGGACAGAGAAGTCGTCCTCCTGGAGCTTTCTTTCTGCTGGGTGGAGATGGACAATAAGACAGTTTAGAGAAGCGCTCTGGGCAAAATGGAGCAGAGGCATGGGGTAGGGCTGGATGGGGAGGGTGGTGCCAACATTAGACAGCATGGTCCAGGAAGGGGTGACATCTGAGTGGCAGCCTAGGAGAAGAAGAGCCACTATGGGAAGTTCTGGGCAAAGCAACCTCTAAATAGAAGTATAGCAAATGCAAAGGCCCCGTGGCAGGAGCGTGATTGGGGTGGGAAGTAGGGAAAGGAAGGGAGGTGGGAGTGGCTGGCAGGAGCCAGATTGGGTGCTGTTTATTGGTCCTAGTGAAGAGTTTGTCTTTTCTTCTAAGTGCATTTTGGGGATCCCTAGGAGGTTTTTAAAAAGGAAGAGGCATAATTAAATTTATATATTTTTAAAGGAACAACAGTGAGGGGTGAGAGTGGCAGAGTGAGGGGGTGTTGAGTTGTGCAGGTTAGAGGGGACAGTGGCTGCCAGGGTGCTGAGGAAGTCTGATGAGTAGAAGGAGATAATGTTATCAACTCCTCCGCCTGGCTTGGTGCAGGCCCCATGAATGGAACTGAGCCAAGATGAGGTTTCTAGCTTCTGAGAGCTATGTCCTGGGGTCATGGGAGGGGGCCACGTGGTGCTGAGGGCCAGGCAGGCTCTGGGACAAATCTGGCCTGAGCAATGTCTCTCTCTGTCCTTGTCTTTTTCCCTTTCCCTCTCCTTCTCTCTCTCTTTTCCTTTCTCTCTCTCTCTCTGAGAACTGCTGCTGCTATTACTCCCCAAAGACTTTACATAATTCTGGCCCAGCTCCCTCCTCATGATGTCATGTGCTGAGTGGAGTCTAGGTCACTCCATTGCATGCTGCGGTTGGGGAAAGAACAGACTTCTGGCTCCCCTAGCGTGGCGGCTGGGTGCAGACCCTCCCTGTGCTAGGGTGGGGGTGGTGGGGTTGCAGTGGGTAGAGGTGGTGTCCACCCCAGCCCCAGGTCCTTTGGATAGCTCAGGCTGAAGCCAGGGCTTCCTGCTGTGGCCCTGGTGAGTTAGTGGTGGGGGCTCTGCTTGGGAACCTGTCTCCCCAAACTTGGGGACCTTGTCCCTGGAGCCCAGGCCTCAGCAGAAAGAGGCAGGATGCCCTGATCCCAGCCCTTCCTGTCGAGTTTTTCTGAGCCTCAGTTTTTATACTAGAAAATGGTTGGGCATCATTGTCCAACCTCACAGGGATGGGTAGCTCCACTGGGCTCCAAGTGGAGCCAGATCTAGTGCATAGCAAGAGCTCAGGCATGGACTGGGAGGGGTCAGCCAAAATGGAGTCTTCCCTTGGACCCACAGCCCTATGCCGGGGCCCCAGCCCTGTGGCTACACAATTCCCTGCTTCTCTCCTAAACCCTACTCTTCATTCCCACTAGTTCCAGGGAAAGCCAGAATAGGGTTGAGTCCCTTCACCTGCGCAGGCAAGTCACCTGAGACTTAGAACGGGGTGTGGCTTGTTCATAGTCACCCAGCCTGGGATGGCAAAGCCAGAAACAGAACCAGACCCTGTGAATCCCATCCCCAGGCATTTTCTGCTGCACTTCACAGTGTGGGATGCCTGTAATCCTGGAGGATGCTGCGGAAGTTCAGATCAGAGGGCAAGACCTGGGGAGGCAAGTTTTGCTTCACCTCTACCCTTGTTTGCACATCTGATTTCTTTCCACTGTGATTTTGGTTTTCTTTTTGGAAACAGTTTGATTTTGCATTTTTAGGAAACTTAAACAATGGTTACTGAGTTACCCCTCCCTGCCCTAACCTCTGAAAATAGGGTGTTAACCTCTTGACAGCATCATTTGGTGTAGTTCCACAGTAATTGTTGAAGGATGGTTATCCCCATTTTACAGGAGAGGAAACTGAGGCTCAAGGTTATGTGGTTGGCAAGTGAAGCCAGGGATTCATATCCAGATCTGTACGTCCCAGAGCTCTCAGCATTTCCTTTCGTTAGAAGTGCCTGGAATTGTCCCCACCTGCTGTGGGCCTGAGCTTTGTGCAGAGATGGAGATGCAAGTCTGCTGTGATGTTTAGCCCTGAGGAAGTGGCCCACCAAGGAAATTATGGGAGTTGGAATTAAGGGAACAGGGAGGCTCAGGGCTTGGAACCCACCCTCCATCTTGGAACTGGCTAATTTTCCTGACTCAGTGTTTAAAGGAGATGGGGGGAGGTGGAGAGAAGAATGTGCCCCCCCCATCTCTAGAGTCACTAAATTCTTGTTAGATCTTTAAATTTTATGTAAATTCTTCTTTTTTTCCCCATTGGAAAAGTGGGTATCATATTTTAATTAGTAGTGGTGTCAAAGGAGGGCTAGATTAATTATTGGAAATCTTGAGTTCCAGATGGTTTTAATTTTCACAGCAGGGCACCAGGGTCTATATTTGTAAATTTTTTTATTAAAATCATACCTAGTGTATTTTAGGGGCACTGAGGTACACTCTTTGTGGCTCCAAGGATACTGTACTCAGGAATTTGGGGCTATGATTTTTGTTATGGAGAAGGAAGTCCCTTGTCACCGAAATTAAACTTTTGTGGGTGAGGGAGGGGTGGGTACTGGGAAGCAAAGGGTCAGGGAAAGGAGTATGAGAATTGGGGGGGGTCATAGGCAAAGGAAGCAGATGTGGAAGGTGGAAGTTGGGAGTTGGAATTAAGTTGGTCATTGGCAAAGGAAGCAAATGTGTCTTCTTTTTCTGCCTTTCGAAGGGAGGAGCTGGGGGATCCAGGCACAGGGGTTCAAGATCAGAAGGGAGAGAAAGCTCAGAGAGGGTGCATGGCCTACCCAAAGTCACACAGCAGCCTGCTGGGGAGAAGGTGTGGACTGGCAGAGGGAGAAGGAGGGGTTTGGACACAGCATGCCTAATAGGGATAGTTACGCTTTAGCCACTTGATCCCTTTATCAGTTGAGGCTTTAGGGGATCAGCTCTGCATACCCCATCCTTGTGAAGCATGGGTGGTCTAGTATGGAGTCTCCTACACTGGACCAGGGGAAATCAGGTCCTAGTTTGGACTTCTGGGCTCTTGGGAGTTAATTACCTTTCAGTTTTGGAGGCCTCTATTGAGGGAAGTGGGATATCCTGAATACAGCAGCCCTTCTCAAGGGGCTTACACTTTGACCGTCTGTGCCTCCCTTGCTATGAGCAGCTGGGGGGAAAGGTGCCAAGGAGGCACTGGCAGGGTTTTCAGATGTTTGCCCAGCAGGAATGGACCTCGGATCTAACTTTTGGAGGAAACAGCCTGATGTCTCCAAAGGCTCTGTGTGTGTGTGTATGCTCACACATGCACATCTGTCTGTTCCTTTAGTTCAGAGACCACTGCTGCTCTGTAGTTTTTTGTATCCCTGTCTGTCCTGCTATGAGGAATGGGTTTTTGGCATGGCTGTTTGTCCTGTTGGGAGGAATGAAGTTGAGAGCCTAGGTGGGGGGAGGTTGGTGGTGAAGGGGAGAAGGGCACACTGGTATTTAGCTACAAGCGGCAGAACTCCCCTCTGTCTGAAGCCATCTGGATCCTAAGTGGAGCCAAGTGAGGCTAAAGGGAAGAGAACAGGCAGCTTCCTGCCTGAGGGGCAGGGTACCCTAATGGGACCTGTCAGAGGCTTTACCAGACGTGATGTTGGGCAGTGAGGGACCAGGGTTAGGGTTAGAGACTATGTCTCTGAGCCTTTAGACCACACTACTACCCCTGGTAAAAAAAATATGTCTTCTTCTTCTGCCTTTCGAAGCCCAGCTCCTAGTGGAGACAGACACCTTCGGTAGTCAAGTCCGGATCAAGGGCAAGGAGACAGAATTCTACCTGTGTATGAATCGCAAAGGCAAGCTCGTGGGGAAGGTGAGTGATGGCTTGGAATTCCCAGGGAAGTTGGAGGTGCCCCTCTGATAGCTCTGGAACAATGTGTTCAGAGCATTGTCAGCCTCAGTGTATGTGTGTGTGTGTGTGTGTGTGTGTGAGAGAGAGAGAGAGAGAGAGAGAGAGTAAGTGTCCACTGTAATCTCTTCCTCCCCTCTCCTTGTTCTCTGCCCTGACACCCACAGCCAGCCAGGCAGAGGTGTCCATGGCTATGAGTTTAGTGTGCATACTGGGTCCTGGTTTCTCTTGGTGTGTATTTCTGGATTGCTCAGTAGTAGAAGAGGCCCTGGGACATGCCTACATGGCCCTGACTCCCCACCATCTGGGAACGGAAAACAGGCAGACCAAGCACTGTGGCTGCAGTGATCATTTTAACAATCACCAGGGGTTTGCAGTGCTATGCAGCAGCAGCCTCGGGAACCCGGCTGCCCGTCAGCACTGAGCCTCACGGTTCTAGCATTTCAGGAAGATTTTATTACTTTGGAATGGGCAAGAGAGCTGCATGTAACAAATTAGGGCAGGAGTGGGGGTGGGGTGGGGTGGAGTGGACCCATAAGCAGGGGGCTCCAAAGTCTCCAATGAAGCTGTTTCTGAGCAACCCCTCTTATTTTTCTGGGTGTGCTTATTTGTTGAGGCTCATGCACTTGTTCCTTTTGGGAGTTCACAGGGCAGGTGTTACTGGCAGTGGCTGTGTGGCACAGTTATGCTCTCTGTCCCCTTCTCTCTGTAGGGACTGTTCTCACTCCCCTGTCCCATATAAGTGGGCGGAGGGCTTGCCCAGACAGGTGGAATGGGTGTGGAGGGTAAATCCAGATCCCAAGGGGCATGGGCCTCCTGCGGCAAGGTCCTGGCTTATTACCTGTAGGTTCATTACACTTTGCTGAGAGTGGGGGGAGATGACCACAGTCTTGAACAATTACCGCATTGCTATTTTTAATGGCAACAACAGCCTCCATTAATTGAGCACCTACTTTCTGCCTGGCACTGAGGGAAAAAAAATTAATCCCTGAGGCTGGTACCACTACCTTCCCTGTTTCACAGATGAGAAAGCTGAGGTTTGGCCACGCCCGGGCACTTGTCCCAGGTCCCACGCTAGGACTAGGCGGGATTTGAAGCACAATTTGGAAGGAAAAGATTCCAGCCGCACTGCCCACACTAACTGAGGCTTCTCAAAGAGCAAAATAATAGTAATCCGAAGAGCGCGGCTCCGGGATGCCGAGGAGTGGTTTTAATTAGTGATTCACTTTCCGCCGTCGCGAGGCCGGTCGGTCGGGCAGGGGCCGGGGGCCGCGGGGCCGGGGCGCGGGCGCCGGGTCCCCCGGCCTGGCCGGTCCCCCTGGCCTGGCCGGCCGTTTCCTGTGGCGGCGCGGCCCAGCCCTGCGCCAGGCGCTTTGTTCTCCTGCCCGCCTGGGCCGCCTCCCAGGCCCAACCTGCTTTGAGTTTTAGGCTCGTTTTTCTCCTTTTCCTTCGAGGAGGGGCCAGCGGCACCCGCCCGTGCCCAGTGCCCACGCGGCCCGCTGCCCTCCCTCCCGCCGCGTGCGCTTCCCGGCAGCATGACCCCAGGAGGGCTATCCGGGGGTCAAAAGAGCAGCCCCGTCCCCTTGGGCCGTTCCCCCCGCCGCCGCCGGCCGCCCTCCACCCGCCGGCTGGCCGCTGAGTCACCGCTTCCACAGGAGCCGGCTCCGATTTCCTGCCCCCTCGCCCTCTCTCCCGTCATTAATATTGGTGACGGTTCAGCTGGCGCTCCGCGCAGCGCAGCGGAGGGAGGCCCGGCTGGCCCCTCCGCCACCTCCTTCCCGCCCTCGGTCTCGCACGCCTGCCCCCCAGTCCCTGCCAGTCTCCTTTCTACTGAGCTGGCCCAGAGCTCCCCCAAATCCACCTGTCCAGACGGGTCTCTGCCCGCCTTGCCTAGCTGTCCTGCTGTCCAGCTCCTGATGTCGGGCCGTCGTCCTAATTGCAGCCTCCTGCTCAGCCAGGCCCCAGAGGCTGGGAATCCCCTCTTTCCCTAACCCCTGCCGCTGGATCTGTTCTGGCCTCACACCTTTCTGCAAATTGTGGTCCCTGACACAGGCAGTACTTCCTGGGCCTTTCTCCACTGCCTACTTTCAGCTTTCTAAGGCACAAAGGGGATCAGGTCTCTCCTGCCCTTCACTCCCACCAAGCTCAAAACCCATCCCTGGGTTCTCTCCTTACCCCTTGATACAGGACACTGAAGGCCTTGGAGAGCTTTTCTCATGGCCCAGACACATGTTGCTATGGACCACTTTTCCCTGATGGGATGTGCTGTTTCCTCTGCTGTGACTGTTCTGCCCTCTGTGCATCTGCCCTAAGTCCTGGCTCATGTTTCCCTGACCCTGCTGTCAGTCTGCCCACCCCCAGAGCCCCTAGCCAACAGCCCTCAGTTGTCCATCTGCTATTCTGGATCGTCACTGTCTGGCTTCATGCCGCATCCCCCACCAGAACTCATGGATGGCAGGTTCTGGATTGATCCATTTATGCTCTATGTACCTGGCTTCAGGGGTACCAGAGAAATAGAAAGATGATTCTTGCTTTCTATAGGTTGACTTTTATCCTACACGCAGAATTATCTATATTAGGCCAAGGGAGTCAAAGTGCTTTGACCTTGCTGATCCTCAGTGTCCCTGTAAAATGGGGATGATAATGGGGGTACTTAGTGGTACTTGTTAAATGTTCCCTCCCTTCTGCTCTGAAGCCATGCTACAAAGTCACTTCTTCACCTGTAGAAACCCCTAGCTTCAGCTCTGGTTCCTTTGAAGTAGCTCAGTGGGACAGCTTCCTTGAGTTATTTTATTTGACCCAGGTTGTTAACCTTGGACATCTCTGGCCACAGCAGGGCACCCACATTGAGCCCTTAACACAGCCTTTCCAAATGCTTCAGACCCTTGGCTGTAGGTACTTCTGGTGCATTGTACTGTTATGTGCCAAAGCTCTGTCCCTGAGCTCCTGCATGCTCACTCTTGCTACCTCTCTGGAACCCACATCCATCTGCCCTAGGAGACAGCACTTCCTTTTATTCCGTAACAGTTGTTGAGCATCTAGCATTATGTGCTAGGCATTTCCTCCGTCTCTGGAGCCTGAGCCTGGCTTGCATTTTTCTCATCTTCCCCGACTTTCATGATCGGTGATGAGTGGAGCCACAGACCCTTTTCAGGACAGAGGGGGTGCCCTGCCCACCAGCACATTTTTGTTAAAGTGGTTTTGGTTGTAAATGACTGAAATCTGACTCAGATTTCAGCAAAAGGGAAAGTTGGGCTTTTATAGCTAAAAAAGTCCAGGGGGTAGTTCTGGTTTCAGGTCATCGTAGATCTAGGGGTCAAATGTTGTCATCATGATTCAGTCTTCAGATCAAATAAAAGCACTAGGACTATTTGGGAGGATGGAGGTTGGAGGTGGTAGTTGGGGAAGAGAAGGTCAGATTCTGCTATATTACCAAGGTGCTGGGAGGGGATATTCACTCACCCTCTATGTATTGATGTTTCTGCTCTGCCCAAACCAATCAAATTAGAATTTTGAGGGGTGGGGCCTGAGCACAGGTGTTTTTGAAGTCTCTGCATGTGATGAACAGGGACAAAGAGGGAATCCTGAACAGAGGCAAGGTCAAGCCCAGGTGCAGCCTGCTGAGCCTGAAGTCATAGACTGGAACTTGTGATTACCATAAGCTCAGGGCTGGTTCCTAAGGGTGGTGAATTTCAGCCCAAAGCCCTGCTCCTCACCCCTCTTAAGTAAACCCAGACATGCATTGAGACTGTGTGCCTGGTACTGGGTAGCTCCTTGTACATTCCAAACCTGGCTTTGTGCCAGTGGTGGCTAGGGGGAGGTGAGATGTTTGACAGGCAGCACCTACTCACTCCCTGTCCTTGAGGATCTCTCTGGAATTGGGCAGAGAAGTGAGCTAAAGTGCCTAGTACAAGTTCAAACCCCAGGTCTGCCACTTACAAGCTCCATGACCTTGGGCAAGCCCATTTGCCTCTTTGAGCTCTATTTTCTTCTACCAGGAAGAGTTGACCTCCACAAGTTAAGAGGATGGAATGAGTTGAGTTAAGAGGATGAAATGAGTTGATGAATGTAGAAATGTCTGGCCTGTAGTCAGCAATCAATAAATAGTGAATGAGTGAATGAATGAATAGGGAGACCAAGTGGGCCTGATAGAGATCTTCAGAACTCAGCTCACTGTCTCCCAAGTTAGTGTGTTCCCCAGGTGGGGCCTCTCATAGCTCATTACCTTTGGGTAAAGGATCCAAGAGGCAGAGTCTATGTTCTTTAGGAGGAAACCCCTTTTGTGTATCCTCCCCACTATTTCCATCCTAGTGAAGCTCTCATCCATTCAGTGACAAATGCTCTGGGCACCCTTGTCTTGGGCTAAGGCCTGTGCTCAAGCATGAGAGCAAATGCTAAGCAGTCCTGACCTCAAGAAACTCTTGGGCTATTGAGGAGAGAGAAAGATACAGAATTGCTCTGTTGGGGTACGTGGGGGGAGGAATGGGGTTCAGAAGATGGAGTATGTGAGCCCAATAAAGTGATGCTTGACTGTAGTCTTGAAGGAAGAAGAATTTCCTAGGGACATAAATGGCAGTCAAGGAAGGCTTCCCAGGGGAGGTAGTTACTGAACTGAAACTTGGGGGATGAAAGCAATTTTCTAGGCAGTGTCAGGTAGTCTGGGTTGGGGAAGAAGCATGACATAGCCTTTGTTCAGTTTGCTCTGTCTGTTCTATTGAGACCAAGCAAAGAACCTGGACTCAGGTTACTCTTGGAATTTTCCGCAGGGGACCCAGAGCCCAGGATCACTTCCTTCTACCTGCCTTGCTCATTTGCCCTGCCTTCTTTCAAAATAATCCTTCACTGCTCACCCACCCATCCCTTCTCTGGGTCCCACATGTATCTCCGAGGCCCAACCCTGTCTGTTTCTTCAGACTCCTCGAAAGATCTCATCCTTCAGAGAGTGTTTTCTTACCCTGCCTGTCCCTCTCTGCAAAGTTCAGCACTTTGTCTGCAGGAACCAAGCTTGCCCTCCGCTCAAAGGTGAACGTTCCTGGAAGCTCCAGCCCGTTTTCCACTTCAAACAAAAGGCTGGAACTCGCACCTCAGTCTCTACACACAGCCAGACCGCTGGGCTTCCAACTTGGCTGGGCATCCGTCCGTAACGAGGAGTGGGCCCGGCCTAAATTTGGAGATGTTAGTTGGAAACTCAAGTGCTGCTAATTCAGGCATTCCAACTTTGTGTGTTTCCCACTCTTCCCCATCAAGCAATTCAGCTGTCTCAGGGAGGAGACTCAAAGCCTTGCTTCTCCACCCCCTTCTGTCCAGATTATATCCAAGGGAGGCAAGCTAGCCCTGTCGGGACCAGCTGCCCTTCAGAAATAGTCTAGCAAGTTCCTACTGTGTGTTAAACTCATTTATAAGTGTCATTCCTCACAACATCTCTGTGATGCAGAAGTCATTGTTCCTTTTTGGTAGGTGAGGAATGTGAGATTTAGAGAGTGGAATTAACTGGTCTGAGGTTACACCAGGAAGTGTTAGAGATCATTTGGTGTCTAACTCCAAAGCTAGTGCTTCTTGCCCAGCATACCTAATTCACGTATCTTTTGGGGAACATGAGATCCTAGGACCAAGGACATGGGTTTTGGAGTTTGGTCATGCCAAAACTCTTATTTTTGGAGGCTCCTACCCTACTTCATACCAAGTATTAAAATGTATCACATCCCAAAATAAATGAAATTTGTATTTAACTATATCAAAGTAGAGTTGAGTTACAATTGAGTAGCTGACTTACTGTCAAGTTTTGTGCAAATCTGTCAGGATTCATTTCTGATAGAATACTCTATCTGCTGGTTGAAACGAAATGAGACTTTATTGGCCCATATAATGGTGAGGTAACTTGAGCTTCAGATATGGTTGGATCCAGAGCCCAAATCATGTGACCAGGACTTAGTTTCTCTCATTCTTTTCCTTTTGGCTTTGGTTTGTCTGTGTTGGCTTCACTGTCAGACAGGATTTCCCCTCATGGTGGCAAAATGGCTGTCTTTGCTTCAGCCTTACTTACTCTGCAAGTTTAAATCCACCTGTGTTTGGGGTCTCTGATGCAAATGTCTCAAAGAACACTCTGATTGGATGGCTTGGGTCACATGCCCACCTGTGAACCAATCACTTAGGACTAAGGGGAAATAATGTTTTGATTGGCTGTTGCTCTAATAGGGGTGAGGTAGAGCCCCCTAGCTAATGAGGGTGGAAAGTGAGGAAGGAAGAGATTCCTGAATTACAGTAGAAATCTGTTAACTGGAGGGTGGGGAAAGATGAAGTGGCCAATAACAAAAGTTTATTCCACAGACCCAGAAAGTGAAATGCTTAAGTCAGGCCTCTCTACTCTGCTGCCCCTGCCATGGCCAACTGCCCAGGCCTTTTCCACAGAGCTCTGCCCCTCACACCTATTGTTCCATTTCTTACCTTCTCTTGACAAAGAGTGTTTGCCTGGCCACACTTTAGTCAGGTTCCTGAGCCCTTTCTTAGGCCTAGGTACTTCCTTGTAAAAAAAAAAAAAAATCCAGTTTTAGCAAGAACCCTGTTAAGTCAGTTTAGTAGGAGCCCCCCTACCTTGATATCAGATCACCCTTAATATCTGATCCAGTTCCTCACTCTCTACCACCCCCAGGTGATGTCTGATCTTCCTGGTCTATCCTCAACAAGAATCCTATTAGATGGGTTTAGCCCAGAACCCCCTTCACCCCTGATGTTTCTTCTTAGCCATTTTCCACCCATTGACCCCTACCCTGCTTGGGTGGCAAGCAATTCCCACGTGCTTGTTCCATGTTCAGAGTTGAGTCCAATCTCCCTCTCTCAGTGCAAAATCCCATGCCAGTGGTACTGAATAAAGTCTTCTTTACTATGCTTTAAGAAGTGTCATTGAATAATTTGTCCTTTAACACTCCTCTCCTACAGCCTGACGGCTCCAGCAAGGAGTGTGTGTTCATCGAGAAGGTTTTGGAGAACAACTACACGGCCCTGATGTCAGCTAAGTATTCTGGCTGGTACGTGGGCTTCACCAAGAAGGGGCGGCCGCGGAAGGGCCCTAAGACCCGGGAGAACCAGCAGGACGTGCACTTCATGAAGCGCTACCCTAAGGGGCAGGCCGAGCTGCAGAAGCCCTTCAAGTACACCACGGTGACCAAGCGGTCCCGTCGGATCCGCCCCACACACCCCGGCTAGGTGTCCCACCGTGGAACCCCAGGCTGCCCCGGCCCACACTCACACTCCCAGAGAACTGCATCAGAGGAATATTTTTACATGAAAAATAAGGAAGAAGTTCTATTTTTGTACATTGTGTTTAAAAGAAGACAAAAACTGAACCAAAACTCTTGGGGGGGAGGGGTGATAAGGATTTTATTGTTGACTTGAAACCCCTGATGACAAAAGACTCATGCAAAGGGACTGTTGTCAACCCACAGGTGCTTGTCTCTCTCTAGGAACAGACAACTCTAAACTCGTCCCCAGAGGAGGACTTGAATGAGGAAACCAACACTCTGAGAAAACCAAAGTCCTTTTTCCCAAAGGTTCTAAAAGCAAGAAAAAAAAAAGTAAAACAAAGAAAGTAGTACCCTCCCCCCCGCCAAAAAAAGCCCCTCACTCTCCCAGTCCCCATCCCTGTCCCAAATTCCAACAAAAATCGCTCTCTGGTTTGCAGTCATTTATTTATTGTTTACTGCAAGCTGTCCCGAGACACCGCGCAGGGAAGGCGTGCCCCTGGGAATTCTCCGCGCCTCGACCTCCTGACGACAGACGGCCTCGTCCAATCATGGTGACCCTGCATTGCTCACAGTTCTGGAGGATGCTGCTATCGACCTTCCGTGACTCACGTGACCTAATACACCAATGATAAGGGAATATTTTAAAACCAGCTATATTATATATATTATATATATATAAGCTATTTATTTCACCTCTCTGTATATTGCAGTTTCATGAACCAAGTATTACTGCCTCAACAATTAAAAACAACAGACAAATTATTTAAAACACCATGAGGCGAGTGCTGGCTGGGGTTAGGGTGGGCTCTGGGTGGCCCCTTGGTTGCTCATGCATCTTGATGTGTGGTCTTTACACTGAGATGGGGGTCCTTGCTTCATTCTTCATTCATTCATGGATTCATTCTACACTCACTATGTACCAGGCAGTTTTCTAGGTAGTGGGGAGGCAATCTCAAAAAGAAATGGATTGCTCGGCGCCTGTAGCTCAACTGGCTAAGGCACCAGCCGTATACACCAGAGCTAGCGGGTTCAAACTGGCCCGGGCCTGCCAAACAACAATGACAACTACAACCAAAATATAGCTGGGCGTTGTGGCAGGCACCTGTAGTTCCAGCTACTTGGGAGGCTGAAGCAAGAGAATCGCTTAAGCCCAGGAGTTGGAAGTTGCTGTGAGTTGTGATGTCACAGCACTCTACCCAGGGCAACAGCTTGAGGCTCTGTCTCAAAAAAAAAGAAATGGAAATCTTGTCTATCAGAGAGATTCCAGTTTATTAATGAGTCGTTGATTCAGTGATCAATTGAATCATTTGTTCACATGCATTTACTTGGTACCTCCCATGTGCCAAGGCTTGATTCTAGGCCCTAGGGATTTATCAAAGAACACAAGGGGGGGAAATTCTAGCTCACAAGGAACTTCACTTCTAGTAATTCATTGATGTGTTGCTTCATTCACTGATTTACTGATGGGTTCATGCATTCAACATATGTTTATTAGGCACTTTCTAAGGTCCTGGAAGTTCATGGAAGAACAAAACAGATAAGAAGTCACGCTTCAAGGAGCTTGCAGCCTAGGGGTTAATTGGTTGACTTGGCTGTGTGTTCCACATCAGTGTTATTCCAGGGACGAACCAAAGAAGTGCTATGTTAGGAAGGTCCAGGGCAGTGTGGGACCTTCCTCAAATTATCATATGGGCTGGAGCTTGAGGTGTCTAGTGGTGTTAACTTCCAAGAACCTGCTCTTCAAGATGTTCTCTACCTGGGCCTGGCTCAGGGTGCAGGGGAGAGACCAGATTGGTCTTGGGTTGAAAGCAGATGGAAGGTTGTAAGTCCCTGGCCCTGAGTTTTGGGCCATGCAGGTGTGAGCAATCAGGCTGAGGTGGGAGTGCTTCCGGACTTTGTCCCTCTGGATCCTAGTCTGTCTCCCTGGGACAAACCATGTATTCCTGGTAGGAAGGGAGGTTGAGTGAGGGGCAGAAGTCACCTCTTCAGAGGTCTGGGGCTGTCACCCGCTTTCATTGAAAACTCCCCTCCAGGCTGGGCACAGCGGCTGACACCTGTAATCCTAACACACTGGGAGGCAGAGATGGGTAGATTGCCTGAGCTCACATGTTCAAGACCAACCTGAGCCAGAGCAAGACCCCTGTCTCTAAAAATGGCTGGATGTTGTGGCGGGAGCCTGCAGTCCCAGCTACTCAGGAGGCTGTGGCAGGAGGATCTCTTGAGCCCAAGAGTTAGAGGTTACAGTAAGCTATGATGTCACAGCAATCTACAAGGGCGACAAAGTGAGATTCTGGCTCAAAACAAAACAAAACAAAACTCCCCTCCAAAGCTAGCCAGGACAGGTCCCCTGAACAGTGGCCCTAGGAAGAGGCAGGATGTGGGGGGGGGAGGGATGGGCTCCTGGCTGTGCATTCCTTCTTCATCCCTCCTGAGGGCTCAGCAGAGGACCCTTGTGGTCCTCCTGTCCTCTGTCTCTCTGCTTTATAAAGGCATCTCCCAGCATCTGGGAGGTCTGTGGCTCGCCCTCCTGATTGTCACAACACACTTCCTTGGAGCTTTAGTTGCACAATCTCACTGTGTCCTCAGGATACCTATGTGGAAGGTAATCTATTTTATAGTTAAGGAAATTGAGCTCAATAGCATTAAGCCACTTCTGTAGGATCACAGCATAAGAAAGTGGTGAGGCCTGTTTTTGAATCCTAGACTCTCCAGGATGGGAGTAGCTGCCACTTGGTGAGTGCCTGCTGTGTGCAGTCCTCCTGCTGGGTGCTTTACTAGGGGCACTGCATGGGCACCAATTAAACAGCCACACATGGGAGAGGGTACTTCTGCTTATGCATTCAACAGATGTGCAGACTGAGGCTCAGAGAGATCATCAACTTGCCTAAGACCTCAGAGTGAGCAGGTGACAGCCTGAGACCTTTGGTGATAAGCAGTCATTCTGGTTGTATGTCAGCTCCTCTCACTCTTCCTGTACTACTTTATTTAACTGAAACAATAACCATGTGAGATGGGTGTTTCTTATCTTTAGCACTGGGAGTGTCAGAGAAGGAAAATAACTTGTCCAAAGCAATACAAGCTAGAAAATTGTGGAGCTAGAATTCAATCAATCATTCACTCATTCATCCAAAAAATACATATTGAGATTATTCTGTGCCAGACGCTGTTCCGGGAGATATGGCCACCACTAGAACAGAGTCCTTGTCCCCATGGAGCTTGCATTCTATTAGGGAGGATCAACAATAAACCAAATAGATATAAAATATGACATCAGATACCCATAAATTATAAGGGAAAGTAAAACAAAGAGTGATGAAGAGTGATGGGGCTGCTATTTTAGATAGGGTAGTCAGGGAAGCCTCTGGAAGGAAGTGAGGGAGGAGAGAGCATTCCAGGCAGAGGGAAAAGCAGTGTCACAGCCTGGAGGGCTGGCTGGACTGGAGCAGAGTGAATGGGTCAGGGCAACAGGGGAGGGGCCAGACCACAAACTGAGCTTAGATCAGGAGTGAGATGGGAGCCAGGTATGAATGTGCCTTACACTGTAAAGGGACTGCTTTGGCTACTGTGTGAAGGATGGGCAGTGCCCAGCCCGGGGCTGCCCAACACCATGGCCTCCCACTGGTGAGCCCACAGACTGTTAACACCTTCTGCACCCAAAACCTCACCTTTGCTCCATCTCAAGAGGCTGTAGGGACAGTGGTTATTTCTAGTTCTGCCTTTTAGAAGGCTCTGGCATTGGAAGATGTGGGCCAATCTTACCCTGCTTACTCGGCTTCTGCTTACTCTAGACAGGGCTTTCTGGAATTTCTCAAGCAATGAGAAATATGTTAATGATAAGCACAGTGGGTTGGCAGGAAGGTTTGCCAGCCATGAATGATGTCTTCTTAGGAACGGCCATGAATGATGTCTTCTTAGGAACGCTGACTTGAGGGAGGAGGCTGGTGAGGTTTCTTGCAGTCCTGCTGGGTAGGAAACCCCAGAAACACCAGCTACCACTTTCAGAGCACCTACCAAGCATGTTCTTACCCAATATACCCAATCCGTGTTTGGGGTGGGCATATTTAGCCTTACTTTATAGAGCGGGCTCAGAGAGGTGGGCCCACTTACTTGAAGTCACACAGCTAGTAAATAGAGGAGCTGGGATTTGAACCTAGGCCTGTCTGTCCTTAGAGCTTGGCTTGACAAAAAGTTTGGATGCCTCGAGCTCTCAGCGTCTGACCAGTCTTTCTCCTCTGCCACCCTGATTCTGCCTCAGTGTCCATCCTCTTCCAACCCACCAGAGGGAAGAGGTGGATACAGTCTATGTCTCCAGCTGCCTGATGGCAGCCCTTCTCTGACCTGCACCCTCCCCAGGATGCCCCTGTCATGGCCTTTGCCTCAGAGATATGGGACCTACAGCACTTCAAGTTTTTTTTATTGTGGTCACTTTCCCAGCTCTTGGAACCTTGGGCAGGTTACATCTTTTCTATAAATGTTGTCTCTCATTAATCCAATTGTTTTAACCTTGTAATGGTTGGAAAAGACAGCAGAGTAAAGAACTGGGAATTATTCCTGCCAGCGAGAGCTAGAGAGGAATCCTCTCTCCACCTCCCTTCACCCTCATCACTCTAGAGAGGAAGTAGCCAGTCCCCGAGAGGGGAGGTGGCTTACTCCGGGTTGCCCAGTGAGTTAATGACAGAGCTAGATCACCAATTGTAGTAATAACAGTGAGTAAAAGGAGTTAGGAGTCACCTAGCCCCTTTTCACATCCTTCCCAAATTTCTTCTCTGATCTAAAGAAGCAGAGGACAGGGCAGAGAGGGCTGCCTCTTGGTCCTAAACCCTCATGAAGATAAGAAGGGCAGGATGAGTCCTGAATCCTCACAAGGGGTGTGGGGTCAAGGGTGCTCTCCCCACCCCGCCACCTTTGGGTGCTATTTAGATCCGGAGTGTTTTCCCCTCATTGCCACCCCTCCCCCTCCTACTCTATACCAACCTTGATGGTCGCAGTAACATGTGTATTTCCAGGTCCTTGTTCCTGGTTCCCAGGGCAGAGTAAGCTGTTGGTTGGTATCTCAGCTATTGCTATGCTCTTGTTTGATTGGCACAAGAATCTGGCAAGATGGGTGAGTTAGAATGCCCATTTTTTAGATGGGGAAACCAAAGCCTATAGAAGGTTATGAATGGCCTCAGGTGTCATTGTCAAAAGTGACAGAGCTGAGATTCCAACTCAGGCCTCCCTGTTCCCACTCTCACTTCCTTACTGTTCCTCTCCTTTCCTGCCCTCTCTGGGGGTACAGTGAAGTGGCCCTAGTGAGGCAAGTGGGGAGGCCTTCTC